TGTGTGTGTGTGTGTGTGTGTGCGTGCATACGTGTGTTGTGTGTGTGTGTGCGTGTGTGTGTGTGTGCGTGTGTGTGTGTGTGTGTGTGTGTGTGTGTGTGTGTGTGTGTGTGTGTGTGTGCGTGTGTGTATGTGTGTGTGCAAGCATGTGTATTACGTCGCTTGCGCGGAGTGTCACACCACGGCATAACCCCATCACCGTTGCCGCCACCAATCTGTATTGCTTGTGTGTCAGGATCCAACGCTGTTCAGCGGGACGGTGCGGTACAACCTGGATCCCTTTGAGCAGTACAGCGACGCCGACCTCTGGGCAGCGCTTGAGACAGTCAGTTAACAGCACACCAGCTTTCTTGCTTGTGTGTGTGTGTGTGTGTGTGTGTGTGTGCGTGTGTGTGCGTGTGTGTGTGTGTGTGTGTGTGTGTGTGTGTGTGTGTGTGTGTGTGTTTGTTTATGTGTTTGGGTAGGTGGCATGACGCCACAAAGGTCATGCTGCCATCACTCATGCCATGACCCTATGACACGTCTTTTCTCTTCTCCATCACGAATTGTTTGTCACAACAGGTGCAATTGAAGGAAAAAGTGCAGCAGATGGATGGCGGTCTGGAGGGACACGTGCAGGTCAGCCGCTCAGCTCCCAGCGGTGCACGGTGGTGTGGTCATGGGGCGGTGTGGATATACAGATGTGCACGTGCCGTTGACATATCTACCGCCGTGATCTGTTGCCTTGTTGTGGCGTCTCACCCGCCATCGCTTGCACTCTTAACAACATACACACGCGTACACAGGAGCAAGGCTCCAACTTTAGCGTCGGCCAGAAGCAGCTCATCTGTCTCGCGCGCGCTCTCCTCAGTCAGTCGCACGACACGTGCACTGTGTGTGTGTGTGTGTGTGTGTGTGTGCGTGTGTGCACCGAAGTATCAAGAAGGGTTCACGTTCAGTCCCGCAATCCACAGGCCAACTCACTTGGCAATCTTCTCCTCCTTCCACCACCACCACCACCAAGGCGGACCAAGATTCTTGTGATTGATGAGGCGCGGCCCCACGTGGAGGATCCGCCCGATCGCCTGATCCAACACACTCCCGCCGCGAATTCAAGGATTGCACCGTCAGTGTTGTGCGTGGTGTGTGTGTGTGTGTGTGTGTGTGTGTGTGTGTGTGTGTGTGTGTGTGTGTGTGTGTGTGTGTGTGTTGGATTGGTGGCTTGCTTCTGTGTGCGTGACCTTGCTTTCTTCATCACGCTAGCAACGTGCAACAGCTCAGCTCAAATTCCCACGCCCCTGCCTTGCTCTCGCCAGGTGCTGACAATTGCACATCGCCTGCACACCATTATGGATTCCGACATGATTGCCGTCATGGACGCAGGAAGGTGAGGGCATCAGGGTGCTTGCTTGGCGCTGCCCTGCTGTTGACAACAAGCCGTTGCAAGACACACGCATGTGCACACAATCAAGCGCGAAGACCTAAGTTTATACTCACACACGTTGATACACACACGCACACACACACACACACACTCACACACATAAAACTCACCCCCGCTTCCCTTCATCTACTTTCACATCCCCCCCCCCCTCTCGCCCCAGGTTGGTGGAGTATGACCAGCCGTATGCGCTGCTGCAGAGAAGCAACAGCCACTTGTCGCGGCTGGTGGCGAGTGTGGAGGCCGACAGCCACGCCGCCCTGGTCAACGCAGCAAAGCGGCACCACTCCATCGCCATTCACGACACCCCCACAGTAACCAGCATCGTGTAGCGTGCACCCGAGGGGACTCTTCTCACACACAACCTCCTCCAATCAGCCCGTCGAGGCTAGCTTGCATGCTGTGGGACTTTCGATCTTTATTTCAACTCGCACACCGCATACATACACACACACACACATTCATGACAAGCGAGTTCTTCAGCGTAGGAACATGACCCTCGACCACACACACGCGCGCACGCACGCAAAATACAAGGAAACAGTTCAAGTTGGATCCACAAAAAGCACACTGATCATAGCGTAGGCACAATGTATAACACACACACACACACACACACACCAAGAAAGCCTCCCCCCCCCTCTCACACGTGTCCTCAGGCGCTGTACGTGATCAGGTACTCTGGGTAGGCCTGCTGCAAGTCGTAGATGATGATGGCCTTGTGAGTGGCCGTGACCATGCCCCCAACAGAATCGAACCCTGGAGACTGGTGCTTGATGGACTGGTCGCAGTTGCTTCCGCGCTCCTCAACCTTCCCAGCCGCCACGCGTGCAATGAACACCTGTCGTTTCGTCGGGTCGTCAGGGCACACGTAGGCGTAGCCACGGTCGCTGTATTCCATGAGCTCGGCGAAATAGGCACCGCGGCCAAACAAACCGGCAGATGCATAGCGGAAGTCAAAGTTGGTGTCGGCGATGATGGCGGGATCAACGGCGCCAGTACCGTGGAACATGTGCTTTTCGTTCGCGCCAATGCTGTGACGATTCAGCACGTCACGCTTGTGAAAGTAGCAGTCCCACAAGTACTTGTTCTGCACGCGCTCCACCTTGAGCACAGTTTTCGTGAAGCCGCCTCGTGAGAAGATCTCCACCACGTCCTGATACTCCTGCGTGCCTGCAGGCACCGGTACCACCTCCACGCTGCGAGGATCCTTCATCGTCGTCCACGTGCGTGGCACCTTGATCTCCTCGACCAGCTTCACCATCGTGCTGTTGATCTCATGGAAGGCAGACTCAGTCACGTACTCGAGGACAATGTTGCCAGCAGGGTTCACGCGGATCTTGGCACCGTGCTTGGCAATGGCAGCACGCACATCCTTGTGGTCAAGAAGGCGCTCGTTGTGCTCGCGGTCGTTCTCAAACAACTTGATTTCCGACTGTTGCCACATGTCGTGCAGTTCGCTCGTCCACTTGTCCTTCACTGCCTGCACCTTTGCCCTGGGTCCACACAGCACGAAGCCTTTCTTCGGCAGGGCTGCCGTGGATGTGATGGATGACGGCTTGGGCACGCTCCCGCCAGTCTCCGCCTCCTTCACAGCCTTGGGTTCGCGCACATTCACAATGCGCGCGCTGCTGCTGCTGCTGCTGCTGCTCGATGCAGATTGGCCCTTGGCTGATGACATGTGCGTCGATGATGAAGACTGCGAGCGCTGTGCACGCTGCTGCGCCTGTGCGAGCGCCAATGCCTCCTGTCGCCGATCCTCAAACAGCGGCGGAAGCGGCATGGCTTCTGTCCAGCGAACGCGTTGGATTCGTCGCTCAAAGTTGGACTTGGCGTTGCGCTGCGTCATCTTGCCAAGGTTCACAAAGTACACGGGATACTTCTCCCCCTCAGGAATGTGCTTGGAATCAGAGCGAACGCCGCCACGGTCACCGCTGATGCGGAAGTCATCTTGACGACCCGCCCCGTGTGCCTGCTCAATCTGCACCTGCTGGTCCCAGTCGTACATCACCCACTGGTCGCGCTCATGGAACCGCCACATCCACACGTACTCTGGCTTCTCCAGCACACGTGGGACATGGTACGAAGCACTGCTGCTGGTCGTGCTCGTGCTGCTGGTCGTGCTGCTGCTGCTCTTGCCGCCAGCACCGTCGCGCTCAGCAAGCGCCTTCACAGCCGCTGCAAACGCGCTTGCCTTGGCTTGCATTGCGTCAAACAGCACAACGCGCTTGATGTTGCCCAGGCTGCCGCTGTTCACCGACGCCACCACCGCCTTGACAATCTCCCGCGTTGCCTCTGCTTCTGGCCATCCAAACACGCCAGACCCAATCGCTGGGATGCCAATGGAGCTCACATCAGGGAGGCGCCCAGCAAGCCGGATCGCCTCTTGCACACACGCGCGCAGCGACGCACTCAGTTGCGCCTGAGTATCTCCGCCAAACCCGAGCTTGGGCAGCGAAGCCAGGAAAGACGACAACATTGATTTGCCACCACCACTGCCGCCGTCACCACTGTAAATTGGCGCCACGGCGTGCAGCACGTGCTTGATCTGCGTCGACTTGGCCAAGTCACCCGACGAGGTGTGGCGTGCTGTGCCTGCACGCACGCGGCCGTGCGCGGCCACAGACTTCTGGCACTCGTCCGAGAACTGGAGACCCGCGGCCTTGGCGATGGCGAAAGCAATGCCACCGCAATGCATCAGATCCTCGTTTGCAGCGTTGACAATGGCATCAACGTGCATGCCCTTGAAATCCCCGCACAGGACTTTGAGCCCGATAGCAGTGTCGGTCCCACCAGCAACGTGGGCCATAAGAACTGGGGTTGCAGCAGGGGTTGAGACCTTGGCAGGTGTCGATGGAGTTGAGGCGGCGGCGTGCTTGGAAGCCTGCTTGCTGTCTGCCTCAAGCATCTTGTGCGCGTCACGTGGGCTCAGCACGACCACGCCCATGTCACGTGCGTTCCTCATCAGGCCACGCCCCTCCTGGCGTTGGAACACGCCAAGCTCGGCCGTGTCGAGCTCGATGTTCTCCGTGAGCATGTCTTGCTCCAGCTGCTGCAGCTTCTGCTCGGCCATCTTGTGTGCTGGCACCACCACATCCTTTGTGCCAACCAACCGGGCCACCTCGCGCGACCCAGGGTTCTTGGCGTCCTGCGCGCCACTGTGGATGCTGATGTTCACGTCAGGAAAGGCACGCGCCACTTGATCGCGAAGCTGTGTGAGGGCTGTGGAGTTGCACCGCAGGAGGAGGGCCATCCTCATGATGCTGGACGAAGCATGCAGCTTGTACGTGAGCGGTCGAAGCCGCTGCTCAGCTTGGTCCAGCCGCTTCTTTGCCTCCTCCACCGCTGCCTCTGCCCCAGACAGGAGAAGCGTCTTGTCGTGCGCGCGATAGTGCTCATTCACGTCGAGCTCGAGCAGCGACGCCCTCATCGTGTTGAACGTCTCCTTCTTGACGCGCACAGACGCGCTGACAAACGTTTGTATGAATGCGTCGACGCGCTGGGCCAGGCGCTCGAGGTCCTTCCGCGCATCAGAAGGGCCTGTCAGCTGGACGCGGACAAAGTCAGCGTTGTCACCGCCGCTGTTCTTGTTCGAGCCGCCCGCGGGCCCTTTGCCCTTGCCCCTTGCCTTGCCTTTGCCTGTTGGGTGGGTGAAGAAGCTGGAGAACACCTTGAAGAGGATGTAGGGGAACTCCACATCTGACTCGGACGCAGCCGCGTGCTTCTTGGGCTTGGTGGGCTTTGGAGGCCCGACGCCAAGGTCGTCGTCGTTGTCGTCGCTGGCGTCGTCGTCCTCGCCGTGGGCCTCAGTGTCGCCGTCCATGTTGCCAGTGGCGTCTGCGTTGATCTGTCGAACCGCACGGCGCAGGAAATGACACAGCGCATGTGCCAGCTGCCGTGATGGTTTCTTCGCCTTCCGCTTGAGCACCTTGATGTCCTGCAGGTATGCTGTGATGCGTTTGGCCGCCCTTTGCACGCTGGACGCCGGGCCTCTCACCGTCATCACCGGGCCAGGAAACTCGACAGTGAACTTGGTGTTGGGAAACTGGTTGGCAATCATGTCGGCCAGCGCGGTTGTGGCGGCGCGAACAACAGAGATGAGGGCGCGCTCGTTGTTTGGCAGCGGCACGACCTGCGTGGTCACGGCCTGTGCACGCAGCACGGCCTCAAGCCGAGGCAGCACGGCAACAGCGTCGCCATCGTCGCCCTGGTACGTGAGATCGACGGCGCCATCATGGTAGGAGATGATGATGTTGCTGCGCTTGGCCAGGTTGAGTGCCTGCGTGTTTTCCTTGAGCTCAGCGAACGTGCACCCCTCAACTTCCACGCGGTCGCAAGTGAGGTTGTGCTTGAGAAAGCTTTTGAACTGGTTCTTCACCACTTCGCGCTCAGCCATTGTTGCGCCCGTGATCACAATTGCCCGGTTTTTCCTGTCGATGGTCCAGGACATGTCCTGGCTGACGGCGTCGGCAATTTCCCTCAGCTTGGCGTTGCCAAAGGTGTTGACATAGTACATCTTCCCAGGTATGGGCGTGGGGACGTTCGTGACACCACCGTCAGGCGTCGGGGCACTAGGTGCCCCGAAGAACCTGGGCGGCTGCGCAGGGAAAGGGGGCTGAGTTGCATGCTGACCAAAACTGGGGCTCTTGGAAGGACTTTTGCCAAACATGGAGGGGCTCTTGGGAAACATGGGCTGAGGCTGTGGCTGTGCGCGCATGGCATCCTATGAAAGTGAATGCAACAACAAAGTGTGTGTGTGTGTGTGTGTGTGTGTGTGTGTTTTGTGGGTGAGGGGTGAGAGGTGATGTGTTGGGATTCCCATGGTGCGTGAGAGAGAGGGATACAGGCACACACACACACACACACACGCACACACACACACACACGAACAACACATACACAGTACAAACGCACACCCCAGCCATATCACACACACACACATACATACCCGCTGAGGATGAAGCCGTGGACAGAATTTCTTGGTGCAGTTGGGGTCTTGGAAGCACACTGGGGTGCTCTGTCAAGCATGGCACGCAGAACAATCGTGAGCGCCGCCTTGTGCGAGTGTGTGTGTGTGTGTGTGTGTGTGTGTGTGTGTGTGTGTGTGTGTGTGTTGCATGAGGGCGCTCCTCCCAAACTCACACACACACAGAAATAGACCCACGAACGAACACACACACTCTCTCTCGCGACGTAGAGCTTAAGATAACGTGCTATTGGTGCGTGGAAGCAAAGGCAAACGAACCTGCGGCTGCAGCATGTGCTGTTGCTGCTGCTGATTCTGCACAGAGAAAGAGGGCTGAGTTGCATGCTGACCAAAACTGGGACTCTTGGAAGGACTTTTGCCAAACATGGAGGGGCTCTTGGGAAGTGTGGTCGGGCTTTTGGGAAACGTGGAGGTCTGGGGAAACATGGACTGAGGCCGTTGCTGTGCGCGCATGGCATCCTGAAAGTTGTCACAGCAAGACCGTCGCATGTGTCATGCGTGACCAAGAGACAATTGAGAATGAAGAAGCAGGTTGCGCAACGTTTACACAGGAGCAGGCAAGCACGTATGCACGAAGGCGCAAAGGTAACGAACGCACACGCACACACACACGCATGCACAAGCACGCCTGCACACACATACACGCATGCACATGCACACACACACACATACACACATACACGCATGCGTACCCGCTTGGGATGCTGCCGCTGGCAGGAGGCGTTGGTGCATTTCTCGTCATGGATGCACAGCGTTTGAGACTGGTAAGGGTGGATGTCGGTGCGGTTTGAGGCTGCGTGAGAAGAACGCTTCGTACCTGCGTTTCACGCACGTGTTGGCACGCTCAACACTTCACATGCACACACACACACACACACACACACACACACACACACACACACACACACACACACACACACGCGCGTGCGCGCGCGCGCACGCACACACACACACACACAGAGCACAACCCTGCCTGTCTTGTTTCGTGCGCAGGCGCTGCCAGGGAGCAGAGGTAAACAAACCTTTTTCGCCGCAGGGTGGATGCGATCGCAGGTGGAGCTCGAGCAGTGCCGTCCACGCTGGCACTGGAACTTAAGCTGTGTCACATCGGGTGTCAGAAGCAAATGAGAACAAAGCGGCGGTGACAACGGCCGACACATGAAAACGCTCAAGGACACACCAAAACCTCACAGCCGAGTATGTCCTTGTGTGTGGCTCAAAGCAGAGAGGGTGGTATGTTTTGTTGGCGACAAGCCAAGGCGTACACAGATGCACCATCGTGTGGAAGCCACTACGAAACACTCACCGGCGCAGGGTGCACTCGGGGGCAGGACGCATTCGTGCAGCCTGAACCAAAATCACACTCCACGTTCTTCTGTGAACCAGAATGTCGGCATTGCATGAATAGATGAGTGGGACAGGCAGGTGAGCCGTTCACAAACATGCGGGAGAGTCCATGCGCATTCTGCGCACGCATCCTGTTGCACAACGCAACACACACACACACATACACGCATACACACATGATGGGACTTGCCTCATCTGTGTGGACATAGTAGCACGCGCTTGTCCGACAGACCGCCTTGGAGCCGTGTGGGCAACGCTGACCCTGCACGCAGACACGCAGACACGTAGACACGAAGAGAAAAAGCAAACATCGTGTCAGAAGGCTGCATGAGCAGTAGCACGTCCAATGTGTCCTGATGTCCTGATGTCCTGATGTCCTGATGTGACAACACACACACACACAACTGTTGTCCGGACACCCCACAAGCCAGCTCAAGAGAGGCACGAAACCAAAACGATGCCGTGCATCCTAACCAGAGTCAGAGGACCATATGTGCATCTGCCTACCTTTCGGTGGGGAGGCATGCTTCCAGTCCTCGAAGGGAGAAGAAGGGAAAGGACACGCGATTGATCGCAGTGTGGGCAGAGCGTGCAGGTGTTGTGCTTGTTGTGCTTGTTGTGCTTGTTGTGCTTGTTGTGCAGTGCGACGCGAACAACAGGACCAAGAAAACACAGACAAGGAGAAAGTGAGGCTTGTGGTTGTTTGTGGGTGGGTGAGGCGCAAAACAACAAGAAGCAAAGCCAGCAAAGCAAATCAGTGACACAACCAACGAAATGATGACTCAGCGCTGGTCGTAGATTGTGGTGGATACGAACATTGTGCCGGGAACAATTTGAACGCCTGCCTGCGCTGGGGTGAAATGACGAACAAGAGAGAGAGAGAGAGAGAGAGAGAGTGTGTGTGTGTGTGTGTGTGTGTGTGTGTGTGTGTGTGTGTGTGTGTGTGTGTGTGTGTGTGTGTGTGTGTGTGTGTGTGAGTGAGAGAGAGTGTGTGTGTGTGTGAGTGAGTGAGTGAGTGAGTGAGTGAGACAGACAGACAGACGGACGGACGGACAGACGGACACACAGAGACACACATCACACACACAAAAAGAGGCACACACAGACACACAAACTCACAGACACACACAAGTCACGTACGCTATTACCGTCACACAGCATACCCACACGGTTGGGGCTCCATTTGCAGCACCACACAAGCCAAGTCACTTCAAATTACATTCAACGGCAGTTGTATTGGGTAGGTAAACAACGACAAATGACGCGCGCCCACAGCAACGCACACACACACACACACACACACACACACACACACACACACACACACACACACACACACACACACACACACACACAAAAGGAAACAGGCACAAGCCACAGAACAACAAGGAGGACAGGCGCAGATGACAGGCCATGTCAATGCAAGCAAGAAGAGAAACGAAACGCAAAACGAGATGAGAAGACACGCACACACACACACACACACACAAGCACCAAACAAACAAGGAGCGAATGGAACACGAGGCTTTCAAAACAAAGGCAAAAACTCCACGCAAACACCAAGCGTATGAAGAAATGTAGGAAGTCACACGATACCACATGCAAAACAAAGCAAACATCAAACCCTTTCCATTCAAGCATTCACACACACGCACACCAAGTACACACACGCACACACCAAGAAAGCCTCCCCCCCCTCTCACACGTGTCCTCAGGCGCTGTACGTGATCAGGTACTCTGGGTAGGCCTGCTGCAAGTCGTAGATGATGATGGCCTTGTGATTGGCCGACACCGTGCCTGTAACAGAATCGTACCCATCAGAAGGGCGAACAATGGAGCTGTCTGACGATCGCTCTTCCACTTTTCCGGCCGCCACACGTGCAATGAACACCTGCCGCACGCCTGCTCCGGTGCCATAGCGCGAGGAGAAGTGGTTCATGGTGGGGGGCTGCACGGGAAAGGCATAGCTGTCGCTGTAAGACATGTACTCGGCGAAATAGGCACCGCGACCAAACATGCCCGCGCGCGCGTGGCGAAAGTCGAAGCTGTCCTTGACAATTTTGTTCGGCTCAACACTACGGGTGCCGTGGAACATGTGCTTCTCGTTGGCGCCGCCACTGTGGCGATTCAGCCATCTGCGCTTGTCGAAATAAGCATCCCACAAGAACTTGTTCTGCACGCGCTCCACCTTGAGCACAGTTTTCGTGAAGCCGCCTCGTAAGAAAATCTCCACCACGTCCTGATACTCCTGCGTGCCTGCAGGCACCGGCACCACCTCCACGCTGCGAGGATCCTTCATCGTCGTCCACGTGCGTGGCACCTTGATCTCCTCGACCAGCTTCACCATCGTGCTGTTGATCTCATAGAAGGCAGACTCAGTCACGTACTCGAGGACAATGTTGCCAGCAGGGTTCACGCGGATCTTGGCACCGTGCTTGGCAATGGCAGCACGCACATCCTTGTGGTCAAGAAGGCGCTCGTTGTGCTCGCGGTCGTTCTCAAACAACTTGATTTCCGACTGTTGCCACATGTCGTGCAGTTCGCTCGTCCACTTGTCCTTCACTGCCTGCACCTTTGCCCTGGGTCCACACAGCACGAAGCCTTTCTTCGGCAGGGCTGCCGTGGATGTGATGGACGACGGCTTGGGCGCCTTGCCAGTGACGTACGGTGTTCCCATTTCTGGCTTGCGCACATTCACAATGCGCGCGCTGTTGTTGCTGCCGCCGCTGTTGCTGATACCACTCGATGGCATCGGTCGCGCCGCTGACGATGAAGTGGTCGAGGCAAAGGAGAACCAGGACGAATGATGTGCACGGCGCTGCGCCTGTGCGAGCGCAAGCGCCTCCTGTCGCCGCTCCTCAAACAGCGGCGGAAGCGGCATGCCTTCTGTCCAGCGAACACGTTGGATGCGTCGCTCGAAGTTGGACTTGGCGTTGCGCTGTGTCATCTTCGCCAGGTTCACAAAGTACACGGGATACTTCTCCCCCTCAGGAATGTGCTTGGAATCAGAGCGAACGCCGCCACGGTCACCGCTGATGCGGAAGTCATCTTGACGACCCGCCCCGTGTGCCTGCTCAATCTGCACCTGCTGGTCCCAGTCATACATCACCCACCGGTCGCGCTCATGGAACCGCCACATCCACACGTACTCTGGCTTCTCCAGCACACGTGGGACATGGTACGAAGCACTGCTGCTGGTCGTGCTCGTGCTGCTGGTCGTGCTGCTGCTGCTCTTGCTGCCAGCACCGTCGCGCTCAGCAAGCGCCTTCACAGCCGCTGCAAACGCGCTTGCCTTGGCTTGCATTGCGTCAAACAGCACAACGCGCTTGATGTTGCCCAGGCTGCCGCTGTTCACCGACGCCACCACCGCCTTGACAATCTCCCGCGTTGCCTCTGCTTCTGGCCATCCAAACACGCCAGACCCAATCGCTGGGATGCCAATGGAGCTCACATCAGGGAGGCGCCCAGCAAGCCGGATCGCCTCTTGCACACACGCGCGCAGCGACGCACTCAGTTGCGCCTGAGTATCTCCGCCAAACCCGAGCTTGGGCAGCGAAGCCAGGGCAGACGTCAAGAATGATTTGCCACCACCACTGCCGCCGTCACCACTGTAAATTGCGCCACGGCGTGCAGCACGTGCTTGATCTGCGCATCGCGGCGTCCGCAAAGCGCCATAGAGGTTCCCACAGCCGCTGCAAACGCGCTTGCCTTGGCTTGCATTGCGTCAAACAGCACAACGCGCTTGATGTTGCCCAGGCTGCCGCTGTTCACCGACGCCACCACCGCCTTGACAATCTCCCGCGTTGCCTCTGCTTCTGGCCATCCAAACACGCCAGACCCAATCGCTGGGATGCCAATGGAGCTCACATCAGGGAGGCGCCCAGCAAGCCGGATCGCCTCTTGCACACACGCGCGCAGCGACGCACTCAGTTGCGCCTGAGTATCTCCGCCAAACCCGAGCTTGGGCAGCGAAGCCAGGGCAGACGTCAAGAATGATTTGCCACCACCACTGCCGCCGTCACCACTGTAAATTGGCGCCACGGCGTGCAGCACGTGCTTGATCTGCGTCGACTTGGCCAAGTCACCCGACGAGGTGTGGCGTGCTGTGCCTGCACGCACGCGGCCGTGCGCGGCCACAGACTTCTGGCACTCGTCCGAGAACTGGAGACCCGCGGCCTCGGCGATGGCCAAAGCAATGCCACCACCATGCATCAGATCCTCGTTTGCGGCGTTGACAATGACATCAACGCGCATGCCCTTGAAATCCCCGCACACCACGTCAACTTGAGCCGGCCTTGAAGAGCTGGAGATATTCGCTGTCAGCACGTGGACTGGTCGGGTTGCCTTTGCCGTGCACTGTGATAATGCTTGGTGAATATCTGCCTCGAGCATCTTGTGCGCGGCACGTGGGCTCAGCACAACGACGCCCATGTCACGTGCGCTCCTCATCAGGCCACGCCCCTCCTGGCGTTTGAACACGCCAAGCTCGGCCGTGTCGAGCTCGATGTTCTCCGTGAGCATGTCTTGCTCCAGCTGCAGCAGCTTCTGCTCGGCCATCTTGTGTGCTGGCACCACCACATCCTTTGTGCCAACCAGCCTGGCCACCTCGCGCGAAGGCTCTTGATTCTGCAAGCACGGCTCCGCCCGCACTCCAGCATTGGCCCCAATCGCATCCTCGAGCAAACTCTTCAGGCGGCCAACATTCTTGGGAAGCAGAAGAGCACTGGCAACGATGCTAGTAGACGCAAGGAGTTTGCGTGTTGTTGGGCTTGAAGATACGCCGCTGCCAAGAGTGGGTGGAAGGGACGTAGCACAACTTGCCTGTCCGCCAGGCGTTCCAGTGCTGCCATTGTCACGTTGAAGGAGTTGCCTGGCCGTATTCACGCTTTGCTTGGCTCCTGACAGCACAATGCTGCAGTCGTCGCCGACCCATTGCGCGGCCACGCTGTGCTTGAGAAAGACGGGTTTGAGCGCGTTATACAGTTCTTTGCTGGGTGCTGAGATCGTTTGGGAGGTGAAGTCATGAATAAAGTCTTGCACGGTCTTGGAAAGCCGCTCGAGGTCCTTGCTTGCTTCGGTTGGGCCCGTCAAGTGCACGCGCAGAAGCGAATGCATGACTCTCGTTTCAGCGACGTTGAACGCAATCAAGACACGTGGCGACTTCTTGCTCTTGCCTGGCGACCCCTTGTGCTGCACAGACTTGTGATTGCCTTGCTTGAATCTGGTGTTGAGCTGAGAGACTTTTGCCTTCAGCAACCTCTCCAGAGCAGCTTGCGCCGTGGGACCTGGGTGTGGGGCGCTCGTCTTGTGAACGACCACACCCTTTAAAAACGCCGTGATTGCTGCCGCAGCTCTGCCCACTTGCGTGCTGGGCCCGCTCAACGTCATAACTGGGAGGTCGCTGTGCCGAAACTCAATGTTGAGCTTGGTCTGGGGAAATTGCGTGGAGACATACTCAGGGAGAGCGGGTCGCACAGCCTTAATCACGGGGATAAGGGCGCGTTCGTTCGGGACTGTAACAGTTTGGGTCACAATTGCTGGGTGCTGAGGCGGGTGCTGAGTTGGGGTTTGCAGCAGTTCCTTGATGCGTGGCAGGGCACCCAGAGACCGCTGATTTGTGGAGCAATACACGAGCGTTGCCTTGGCCTCACCGACGAACAGCGTCACGTCATACTGCTTCGCACAGTCATTGGCAGCTTGATTGCGCTTGATGTCGGCCTTGGAGAGGCCAGGCAGCAACACATCTTCAGACTTGACCAGCTGCCGGACGAATGTTTTGCAAGCCTGAGCAGCGCGTTTCCGAGCAGCAGCTGTACCTCCGTTGATGAATACACGCTGAGTTCGTGGGTCAACGGACACAGCCACGTCGGGAGCAGCGGCTGCAACGGTCACTCTAAGCCAAGAAGCACCGGCGTCGCGCAAAAACAAGCTCTTGGGTGCATCTCGGATTTGGACGTGTTCACGGTCGCGCTGTTCGGCTGATGACGCGATGAGCAGCTCCTTCACTTCAGCCAGCACCTCCTCAGGTGGGCGCCGCACTGCATCCCAGTACACCATGACGACCTCCTCATCACTGTAGAAGAGTGCGATGTCATTCTGCTTTGCGAGCTGGAGTGGTGCCTGATTGCGTTTGAGGTCCTCCTTTGAGCGGCCAGGGAATGGAAATCTTACGCATGATACGAGGTTGAAAACTGTTTTGCACAAGTCAGCAGCCTTGACGCGCTCTTCCGCCGTACCGCCGCGAATATGAACTTGCTGCCTGCGTGCATCAGCAACTGTAGTGATACTGTTGTTTCCGGTCAAGTTCGTAATGATTGCTTGCAATAATGGTGCGCCAGCCTGTTGCAAGAACCAGCACTTGGGTCTGTCCCGAAGGTCGACCATCGGATGCAAGAAAAAACAACCCCGCTTTTCGCACATGTGCCTGAGCTTGCAGATCTGCGTGCGTGTGTGTGTGTGTGTGTGTGCATGCGCGTGTGCGTGCGTGCGCGTGTGAGCGTACGTGTGCATGAGCGTGTGTGTATGCGTGCGTGTGGGAGGATGTCAGTTTCTCGCTCAAGCATCGTTTTGTTCACGCTTCTGAAGGAGAAAGACCACACTTACCGGTGGTGGGTGCCGACGCTTACAATACCTCCGCTTGCACAAGTGGCCGAGGTCACAGTCTTCATCAACCTTCGGCGTGATGTTTTGGTTGGATGGGACAAATAGTTGGTGCTTGGTGAGGATGTGATGGAGAGAGAGAGAGAGAGAGAGAGAGAGAGAGAGAGAGAGAGAGAGAGTGACAGAGAGAGAGAGAGAGTGACAGAGAGAGAAAGAGTGACAGAGAGAGAGAAAGAGACAGACACAGACAGACAGAGACAGAGACACACAGACAGAGATAGACAGACAGAGACAGAGAGACAGATAGAGAGAAGTGTGTGTGTGTGTGGCGAGAGGGAGGGCACACAAATACTCATAGACAAACACAAGCACCTACACACACACATACACACACACACACAGAGAGACAGACAAAGCACTCACCTCATCATGGTGTATGAACCCACAAGCAGCCTTGTGGCACGCCGACTTTGTCTTGAACTTGCAGAAGGCAGCCTGCAAAACGAACATGTCGTGATATCGAGAAATCGGGTGAGATGGGGTGCACTAGGCAAAGGATGTGTGATAGACAGATAACCCAAGCTCATCAAGCAAGCTCGATCGCACAACCGGCCACTTCATCATGGCCTTGGCAGCACACACACACACAAAAGGAGGCAGCGATCGAACCTTATCCGCATGAGTGCGTGGCATGGCTGGCTGGGACAGGGAGGGAGGCAAGGCGACAGCTGACTAGCCGATCGTGTGCGTTTGTTTGTGTTTGTTCTTTGTTGCGGACAGCGAGGCGGTCTGGTGAATGCGGCTGTTGTGCTTCTTGTGTGCGTGGCCTGCTTGTGCACTGCGTGTCAGTGCGAGTGGCCTCACACTCCACTCACGCACAAACAAAGAGAGGCTAGCCAATGCGCACGATAATTTTTCCAGGTGAAGCCGGTGGATACACGCACAATATGATTCGCCGGTCTGCCGGGAATTTTTGAATGTGTGTGTGTGTGTGTGCGTGATGAAGATTGTGTGTGTGTGTGTGATGAAGATTGTGTGTGTGTGTGTGATGAAGATTGTGTGTGTGTGTGTGTGTGTGTGTGTGTGTGTGTGTGTGTGTGTGTGTGTGTGTGTGTGTGTGTGTGTGTGTGTGTGTGTGTGTGTGTGTGTGTGTGTGTGGTTGTCAGTTGATGAAGGCCTCAAACGAGCCCGCGTCAGTCCCACGACAGTGTTGTTTCGCGACATTTACTGTTGCGACTGGCTGTGTGAGAGTAAGAACAAAACCAGAACCACGCACTAGCCGAAGGCAGACCAAGCCTTCAAACAGACATCCCAACGAGCCTGTCCTGAATGGTTCGCACGCCCGCGCCTGTACGCTACACGATGCTGGTTGCTGTGGGGGTGTCGTGAATGGCGATGGAGTGGTGCCGCTTTGCTGCGTTGACCAGGGCGGCGTGGCTGTCGGCCTCCACGCTCGCCACCAGCCGCGACAAGTGGCTGTTGCTCCTCTGCAGCAGCGCATATGGCTGGTCATACTCCACCAACCTGGTGCAGGGGGGGGGGGGTGTGTGGGGTTGAGGGTGTGGAAATAGATGAAGGGAAGCAGGGGTGAGTTTTATGTGTGTGAGTGTGTGTGTGTGTGTGTGTAGCAACGTGTGTGAGTATAAACTTAGGTCTTCGCGCTTGATTGTGTGCACATGCGTGTGTCTTGCAACGGCTTGTTGTCAACAGCAGGGCAGCGCCAAGCAAGCACCCTGATGCCCTCACCTTCCTGCGTCCATGACGGCAATCATGTCGGAATCCATAATGGTGTGCAGGCGATGTGCAATTGTCAGCACCTGGCGAGAGCAAGGCAGGGGCGTGGGAATTTGAGCTGTTGCACGTTGCTAACGTGATGCAGAAAGCAAGGTCACGCACACAGAAGCACGTTGAAGCAAGCCAGCACACACACACACACACTGACGGTGCAATCCTTGAATTCGCGGCGCAGAGTGTGTTGGATCAGGCGATCGGTCGCGTCGTCCACGTGCGCCGTCGCCTCGTCAATCACAAGAATCTTGTTCCGCCTTGGTGGTGGTGGTGATGGTGGGAGGAAGGTGATTGTGAAGTGAGTTGTCGTGTGAGTTTCTGACATGAACGTGAGACCATTGTTGATATCTCGTTGCAGACACGCACACACAACACACACACACACACAGTGCACGTGTCGTGCGACTGACTTGAGGAGAGCGCGCGCGAGACAGATGAGCTGCTTCTGGCCGACGCTAAAGTTGGAGCCTTGCTCCTGTGTACGCGTGTGTGTGTTGGTAACAGTGCAAGCGATGGCGGGTGAGACGCCACAACAAGGCAACAGATCACGGCGGTAGATATGTCCACGGCACGTGCACATTTTGTACATCCACACCGCCCCTTGACCACACCACCGTGCACCGTCGGGAGCTGAGCGGCTGACCTGCACGTGTCCCTCCAGACCGCCGTCCATCTGCTGCACTTTTTCCTTCAATTGCACCTGTTGTGACAAACAATTCGTGATGGAGAAGAGAAAAAGACGTGGTCATGGCATGGGCAATGAGGGTGTTTGTGGCATCATGCCACCGACCCAAACACACACACACACACTCACGCACACACACACACGCACAAGCGCACATACACACACAAGCAAGAAAGTTGGTGTGTGGTGTGCTGCTAACTGACTGTCTCAAGCGCTGCCCAGAGGTCGGCGTCGCTGTACTGCTCAAAGGGATCCAGGTTGTACCGCACCGTCCCGCTGAACAGCGTTGGATCCTGACACACAAGCAATACAGATTGGTGGCGGCAACGGTGATGTGGTAATGCCGTGGTGTGACACTCCGCGCAAGCGACGTAACACACATACTTGCACACACACATGCACACACACACACATGCGCACCTGTGGGATGACACTGATCTTCCGGCGGACGTGGCTGAGCGGCAGTTTCGTCACATCCACGCCGTCAATGTTGATCGTGCCTGCAATGGTGATTTGGCCATAGCCAGCAGGCACACACATACACACACACACATGGGGAAGAAGCAGCGACTGTAAGGTCTCTTGACAAAACCACGAACACACGAGCAAACATTCACACAATCACACGCCACTCCAACACTACATGTCATTCCCAACCTTCGACGATGCTGAGGCGGAAGAGGGCTGCCAGGATGCTGCTCTTGCCAGCGCCAGTCCGCCCAACAATGCCAACCTGACACGCGCAAACATCAGCAGCAGCAGAGTGAAAAAAAAAAAAAAAGAGTGGAGAGCACATTTGGCGGGGTGAGATGAGACGTGTGCACAATGGAACGCTTGGATGGGGTGTTCTCACACAGTTGCGCATATGTACACACAAAGACACACATTCACGCACACACGCACGCACGCACGCACGCACGCACGCACACACACACACGCACGCACGCACGCACGCACGCACGCACGCACGCACACAGACACACAGACACACAGACAGACACAGACAGACACAGACACACACACACACGCACGCATGCGTTATTGGGTGCACCTTTGCTGCAGGCGGGATGACCATGGAGAGGTGGCGGAGGGCCGGCGGCAGCTCCTCTGCATAGCGCATGCTCATGTTCTGATGACGGTGGTGGTGGTGGTGACGATGATGATTATGGCAGCAAAGCAGGGGAGAGTCAACATGTGAGCAGAGCAGCCCTTCACGTCTGTGCACAGGGAACTACAACGGCGTGCACACACACACCCACACACCCACACACACACCCACACACACACCCACACACCCACCCACACACACACACACACACACACACACACACACACACACACACACACACACAC